CGATCAGATTGTCACCACGGCCCAAGACGAATTTTATAAAATATTCAAAACTCCGAAGAAACGTTACAGAAGCCAAACACTATAATTTACGACCCAGAGCATGGAAACCACAGATTGGCGATATGGTTTTAGTCAAACACATCCACTATCCAACGCTCAGGCTCATTTTGCTGCAAAACTAGCCCCAGAACCACCGCAGAACTTTGGGAACGGATACAGAGGGACGCTCAAAAGTTAAAACGGGGCCGTCGCCATGTTTTTATGTGCAAAATCAGGAAAAAAAACATAAGGTGCTCATAGCAAATTCTGGTGCCATTCGGGTCGTTCCCCCTTTCCAATGAAGGGAGGGAGTGTGACGAGTTTTAGAATCTCGTCACAAACAAACAACAAGAAAATAAAATAAAAAAAAAAAAAAAAAAAACAACAATAGAATTAAGGTATTTTTAGTTAAATATAATTTGTTTATTATTAGTTAAGTTACACATAAAATAAAATATTAGTATAAGGTAGTAATAAAAATTAAGGTATGAATAAGTTTAAAATTAAGGTATTATTAAGTTAGTATATAAAATCAGTATCATTAAGTTAATATTAATTTAATAAAAATTAAAAGCAATTCCTTTTAAAATATAAATTAAGTAATAACACACCTTTTTGTTTGAGGGTAACTATTTTGTAAAATTTTAACAAATGTGCAGCAACAGTAAGCATACCAGACGCAGACACTTAGAATGGACAATAACAAAGCTGTACAAAGTGCACTCAACAATTAGAAGTCCCGTTTCCAAAATCCGTATAAAAGGAGAAGCAAAGTAAAACACAGAGACTTGGCCACAGCATTTCGAGCAGTGCACATCACCAGAGAGACTTGGCCACAGCATTTCGAGCAGTGCACATCACCAGAGAGACTTGGCCACAGCACTTCGAACAGTGCACATCACCAGAGACTCTATGGCAGGCCACGAAGCAGAACACTTGACAGAGCCAGAGCAAGTGTATAAACAGGTAATTAAAAATATTTAAATAACATTTTCCTAGTCCATCAGTGTAGCCCTATCGGTAACACTGTTCCTAAGCAACGCAGCCTTGTCGGTAGCGTTGGTTCCAAGCCCATCAGTGTAGCCCTATCGGTAACACTGCTCCTAAGCAACGCAGCCTTGTCGGTAGCGTTGGTTCCAAGCCCATCAGTGTAGCCCTATCGGTAACACTGCTCCTAAGCAACGCAGCCTTGTCGGTAGCGTTGGTTCCAAGCTCATCAGTGTAGCCCAATCGGTAACACTGTTCCTAAGCAACGCAGCCTTGTCGGTAGCGTTGGTTCCAAGCTCATCAGTGTAGCCCTATCGGTAACACTGCTCCTAAGCAACGCAGCCTTGTCGGTAGCGTTGGTTCCAAGCTCATCAGTGTAGCCCTATCGGTAACACTGTTCCTAAGCAACACAGCCTTGTCGGTAGTGTTGGTTCCAAATCCACCATTAATTAAAAATTCTTATTATAATTCTTAATATGTATTATATATTTATTAGCAAATAAGTTATAAATATTGTAAAATAAATTCCGAAAACTAATAAAGAAATTAAAAAAAAAATTTAAGTGGCTTGAAAATTATTATACGAACGATTCAGGGTTACAGAGAAAAAATATTCTTGTAACGACTCTGGGATCCGGCGAGAAAAACCCCGGCATAAGAAAAAAGGTTCTTTACAATAGTGATAGCGATTTAGCAGTTTGTAAAGTTTGCAAACATTCGTTGAAGAGGGACAGAATATTTAATTTAAGAACACATTTAAAAAATATGCACCAGTTAAATATAAATGATAATGAAGATTCCAGCTCAAGTAGTAGTGCAATAGTTGTGAAAAAATCATTCCGAAAGCAAACAATTAAAATCGAAATCAAAAAAGAGTTATTTCGCTGCTATATTGACTGAGGACAATATTCCATTTAATGTCCTTAATTCGGAAAATATGAAAAAGATTGCCCTATTTGTCGTGGCTTAGAAGAAAAATTTAATAAAAAATTTGTATTGAACAGCAATAACTGTAAAAGTGTTTTGAAATTAGTTGCTGGCAATATTAAAGAACATATTAAAAAAGAGCTCGAGCAACGATTCATTTTCTTGAAAATTGACAGTGCCACAAGATTGTCACGCAATGTATTTGCTGTTAGTTCACAATTTATAAAAAAACAACGAAATTATGTCAACCATTTTAGGAATGGTGGAACTAAAAGGGGTGGCATCAAGTTCATCTCGTAATTTGTCGACAGAAATTGTGAACTTATTGAGCAAATACAATGTAAATCTCAATCAAGTTGTATCAGTTACATCAGATAATGGTGCAAACATGATCAAAACTGCTGTACGAAGAAGTCGAGGCTGAGGAAGCAAATGATGTATATTTAAAAAATATCGAACTTTTCGAAGATACAATTGACATTCAGTTGGGCGACATTCAAATTTGCCCTTGTGCTGCTCACACTGCTCAGCTCTGTGCACTGGATGCTAAGGACTTGAACATTAGAACTTATTTCATGAATTGCAGAAACTTAGTCAAGTTCATCAAAAAAAATTCTAACGGCTATCGTAAAATTTTTGAACTAAAAAAGTTGACTCTACCACAACTCGATTGTCGAAAATTTAAATTTTGAAGTCACCTTTTCAACGTGTTGATACAAATGTATTGGACTTTTGGAAGAAAGACAATTTGCTGATCCAGAATTATACGCGCTTGCGAATATATGTTTTGCAATTCCACCAACTCAGGTAAAATATTCGTTTAGCATAATATAAATAATCAAATTAATGTCATTTACATTCAAGGTTACTATCGAGAGTGCTTTTTCGTCACTAAAATTGATCTTATCTGATCAACGGAATCGTCTTAATTATGAAACTTTGGAAAACATTCTCATGGTTAAACTAAATCCGCAATTTTTGGACTATGCTATTGATGATATGCCGTTGTTTCAACCTCCTGAATGGGACTTAAATTTAAAAGAATAACAACACCAAATTAAAATTTTTAATCATAATTGATAATAAAGTTTTTATGTTTTTTACCGGGCGTAGGTCGTTTATTTAACACATTAATTTATAAAAATGTTTTTTAAATAAAATAAAAAACTTCACTTTTTAAACTGTTTTAAATATTTAGTATATTTTAATTTTTATACAAAATTATTTATATCACAAATATTTCGAAGTACTTCGTAGACCATCTTCAATGTATAATAACAATAATAAAGAAATAAATAGTGGCGTCGGCAATGTCGGCGACTGTACCAAAAAGTTGTATATAATATGTTCTACATATTACTTATAATTTTCCTACAAATATCATTTGTATTCACAAATATAAACATAACACTTCGTTCAATAATGTGTGTGACTAACTAATTAAAACATATTTTTTTGCCAAAATTTGTTTTTACTCATCAACATAGTCCCCTTTTAGGGAGATACAATCATTCCAACGCTTTTGCAATCTTTCGATACCGCCTTTGTAAAACGATTTTTCTTTGCCTTCAAAATAGGCGTTTGTTTCGGCGATTACTTCATCATTTGAGCCAAATCTCTTACCACGGAGCATCTTTTTGTCGCTGGGGGCCAGATCTGGAGAATACGGTGGGTGCGGCAGCAATTCGTAGCTCAATTCGTTCAATTTTGCCATCGTTTTTATCGACTTGTGACACGGTGCCTTGTCTTGGTGGAACAAAACTGTTTTCTTCGCCATATGAGGCCGTTTCTTTGCGATTTCGTCTTTCAAACGCTTCAATTAACGCTATGTAATAGTCGCTGTTTATGGTCTTCCCCTCTTGAGATATGTCGATGAATATTATTCCATGCGCATCCCAAAATACAGACGCCCATAACCTTGCCAGCCAACTGCTGCATCTTTTGGTCACTTTGGCGGCTTTCAGCGGCTGCATGCCACTCAGCAGACTGCCGATTTGACTCTAGAGTGAAAATGTGATCCATGTTTCATCCATCGTGAATGTATCGCGCAAAAAACTCCGACTTATTGCGCGTAAACATGTCCAAACAGCTCTTTGAATCATCGATTCGTTGTTGTTTTTGCTCCGGTGTGAGCAAACGCGGCACCATTTGGAAAACACCTTTTTCATACCCAAATGTTCGTGTATTATGGTGTGTACACTGCCTGCTGATATCTGTAGAATGTCAGCAATCTCCCTCACTTTCACTTTACGGTCGGACATAATGATTTTCAGTGTTTTTTCAACGTTTTCCGGAATAACAGCGTCATTTGGCCGTCCAGTAGATGGAATGTCATCGGTGTCTGTACGACCACGTTTGAATTCGGCATACCAATAACAAATGCTTCTTTTTGATGGAGCAGAGTCCGAATAATGTTTTTCAAGCCATTCCTGGCATTGAACAGTATTTTTTTTCATTAAAAAACAATGATAAAATAGCACACGGAATTGCTTTGAATTCATTTTTTTTTGAAAACTCAAAAGTAGCGCCACTTAAAGCACTGTAACTTGTAAACAAATGGTCGGATTAACATATGATTTTGACAGTAAGCCTTAAAAGGTTGCTACTTTCGAAAAAAAGTATTTATTTAGTATTAGTGCTGCCATCTATATGTCAGTCACACACATTATCGAACGAAGTGTTATATATATATACATGAATTAATAATTAATATATATAGATGTAAAGTAGTCGGTAGCTGAGGACAAGTACCCGGTAATTGGTTGTCAGAAATACAACAGTGCTTTTTGACGTGCTTGAGCAGAGCCGCAGTTCTTTCCTGGTTGTCTTTGCGTGTGCACGGCGTCTGCGCTTAAATACTTTGTTACGTGTGTAATTGTTAAATTTTATTTGAATTACTGAATATATTTGCCATTGTGTTTTGAATCTATTAACTTTGTTATATATAATAATTAAATTTCATTTGTATTACTAAATATATTTACCATCATATTTTGAATATATTAAGTTTGTTACATTTGTGGGCTCAACCGCACCATGTACTGATAATGAATGATGAAGCAAATAGCCGGTGCTTAACACGATATAAAAAGAAACAACAAGTGGAAGGCAGATTAAGAGCGGAGGCCGTATTGGAAACAACGGCAAAAATATCAGCAGAAACAGCAGCAAAAATATCAGCAGAAGTATCAGCAGAAACAGAAACAGCAGCAAAAATATCAGTAGAAGTATCAGCAGAAACAGAAGCAGAGACAGCAGCAAAAATATCAGCAGAAGTATCAGCAGAGACAGAAGCAGAAATAGCAGCAAAAGTATCAGCAGAAGTTTCGGCACAGGCAGCGGAAATATCAGCAAAAACAGCAGCAAAAGAAACAGCAGAAGTATCGGCAAAGACAGCAGAATTATCAGCAGAGGCAGCAGCAATATCAGCAGAAGCAGCAGCAAAAACACAAGCAGAAGTTGAAGGCAGAAAAGAAACAAGACAAACAGGAGAAGCAAAGAAGAACAAATGTAGTGGTAAAATGTGGCTGAAGAATGAAAACGGTGAGCTAAGCGCAGTTCTGCGAATGCTAGCGGAAAAATTAGATAGCAGGGACAACAATACAGTCTCGAATAGAATCATTCGAGAAAGTTGTGCCTAATTTTGATGGTGAAACGGTGCCGGTAGAGATTTGGTTCCAAAATTTTAAATTAAATGCAGATGCATATGGTCTTTCACTGAAGCAGAAGTATATTCATGCAAGAAATAAAATGACAAAAACGGCGCAGACCTTTTAAGAAACAATACCTCTAAACAACTATGTTGAATTAAAGGAGCTTTTAATTGAGGAATTTAAGAAAACTTATAATAGTGCTGAAATACACCAGCAGCTACAGCGCAGAAAAAATGCAAGGTGAGTCGTTTCATGAATAGACTCTAATAATGAAAAGAATTAAAAATATAGGAAACGTTGATGATGTCTCGTTAATACGGTATATTGTTGATGGTCTTTGTCTGCCAGCGGACAGAAAATGTGCACTTTATGAAGCTACAAGTATAAAAAATTTAAGGGAAAAGTATGAAATATATAAAAAAGTTTTAAAAGAAGAAAAAAAAGATGCAGCAAAGGCAAGTAAATATACAGTCGCATATAAAAGAAATAATGAAGCGATAGAGAAGAGAAAAAATCATTGCTGCAATGGTGAATCTGTAGACCATAAAAGAGCAGACTGTAAATCAGAAACGAAATGCTTTAGATGTAATATGACAGGACATATGTCTAGAAACTGTCCACAAAATACGAAGCTTGTAAATTTGGCTGTGAAAGAAGAACGGCTTAAAACTATTTTGTTAAACAAGTCAAAAGTAACGGCTTTGATTGATACCGGCGCGGACGTAACAATAATTACAAAAAGCCTTTGCAGTAGTTTTAAAAACGTAATATTACTCGAAAATGATACTAATCTATATGGTTTGGGTAATGTGAAAACACGACCAATCGGCAGGTTTGAAGATGACATTTTGATAGATGGCATACAGGTAAAGCAGCAGGTCGTTGTCGTGCACGATAATATAATGTGTGGATTTTCGTAAGCTAAACAGCATGATATTAAAAGATTGTTTTCCTATGTCTTTAATAGATGATGTGATAGAAAAATCACTTAGACTTAGAAAATGAATTTTTTCATGTATCAATTGATGAGGACAGTAAAAAGTACACTGCTTTTGTAACGAAAGATGATTTGTTCCAATTTAATAAAACCCCTTTTGGATTTTGTAATTCGCCTGCTGCATTAATGCGTTTTGTAAATAATATATTCCAAGATCTTATAAATGAAGATATTTTAGAATTATATATGGATGACATTATTATTTATGGCGATACAGCTGATAAATGTATAACTAAAATGCGAACAGTTTTGGAAAGAGCAAAAAAATGGAATTTAAAAATAAAATGTAAAACATGCTGCTTCCTTCCAACGAAGATAAAATTCTTGGGTCACATAGTGGAAGATGGGAAAGTATATCCAGGCGAAGAAAAACCAAAAGCTGTTAGTAAATTTCCAATACCAAAAAACATTAAAGCCGTACAGTCGTTTTTAGGATTAACCGGGTTTTTTAGGCGTTTTATTAAAAACTATGCAGGAATTGCTCAACAACTTACTAACTTACTTGCTAAAAATGTACCATGGGTGAAATCGAGTTGAATGCATTTCAAAGTCTAAAAGATGCACTTGTTAAAGAGCCGGTACTACGAATATATTGCGCAGATGCACGGACCGAACTCGTCACGGATGCATCAAAATATGGCTTTGGAGCAACTTTAATGCAAGAGTTTGAAAACAAAATGCATCCGGTATTATTTTGGAGCAAAAAAGCATCAGTGTCAGAGTCGAATCAACACAGTTATATATTAGAGGTGAAAGCAGCATTTCTAGCGATGCAGAAATTTCGCAAATATCTTTTGGGAGTACAATTCAAACTTATCACAGACTGCGCAGCGTTCAAACAAACCGTTTCAAAAACCGATGTTCCACGAGAGGTGGTGAGCTGGATATTGTATCTACAGGATTTTCGTTTCGATGTTGAGCATAGAAGTGGTAATAAATTAAAGCACGTGGATGCACTGAGCCGATATCCGGTAGATTTTTTCTCTTAATTGTAAAGACAGAGATCACAGCTCGATTACGAAAAGCACAAATGCAGGATAAGCATTTAAAAGCAGTTAAAATTTTGAAAGTTAAACATTATGAAAATTATAAGATTATTAACAATATAATTTATAAAAATATTAATGGTATCGATTTAATTGCAGTACCAAAATTGATGGAAGAAGAAATCATCCGCAATGCACATGAGGTTGGCAACTTTGCGGTTCAAAAAACTTTACACGAAATCCAACAGCAGTATTGGATCCCACACGTTGAAAATAAAGTTTCACAATTTATCAAGAATTGTGTTAAATGTATAATACATAACCGCAAGTTAGGTAAACAGGAAGGATATTTAAATTGCATAGATAAAGGCGACTATCCGCTCCACACTTTACATGTTGATCATCTGGGACCAATAGAGACAATTCCAAAACAATACAGATATATTTTTGCGGTTGTCGATAGTTTCTCTAAGTTTGTGTGGTTGTACGCCACAAAATCGACTGGTCAAGAAGAAATAATTAAAATTTTAAGTCAGTGGTGCGATATTTTCGGAAATCCAAGCCGCATAATAAGCGACAGAGGAGTAGCTTTTACATTGAACGCCTTTACAGAATTTATTAAAGAAAACAAAATCGAGCATGTTTTGACTACAACAGGCATTCCAAGAGGAAATGGACAGATAGAGCGAGTTAATAGAACAATACTATCTGTCATAGCAAAGCTGTCTTCAGACTGTCCTTCGAAGTGGTACAAGTTTGTGAATCAAGTACAAAGCGCAATAAATTCTTCTGTTCATAGCGCTATAAAAAAGTCACCATTTGAAGTTATGTTTGAAGTAAAAATGCGCACAAATGCTGATGCCCGTCTATACGAAATATTACAAAAAGAAGCAATTGAAAACTTTGATGCCGAAAGACAACACTTACGAGAACAAGCTAACTTGCAAATTTTAAAGGCGCAAGTAACATATAAAACAAACTATGATAAAAAATGTAAGAATGAAAAAGGTTATGCTGTCGGAGATTTGGTGGCAATTAAGCGGACACAATTTGTGGCCGGTCGTAAATTGGCAAGCGAATACCTTGGCCCTTATGAAGTGATTAAAGCAAAACGAAATGGCCGCTATGACGTTAAGAAAGCAGCTGACATTGAAGGTCCAATCGTAACATCAACCAGCTGCGACAATATGAAGCTCTGGAAGTTCGTAAACAATAATGAGGATCTGCCGTCATCTGGTTCAGACGACGAAGGTCAGGAGGGCCGAATGTAAAGTAGTCGGTAGCTGAGGATAAGTACCCGGTAATTGGTTGTCAGAAATACAACAGTGCTTTTTGACGTGCCTGAGCAGAGTCGCAGTTCTTTTCTGGTTGTCTTTGCGTGTGCACGGCGTCTGTGCTTAAATACTTTATTACGTGTGTAATTGTTAAATTTTATTTGTATTACTGAATATATTTGCCATTGTGTTTTGAATCTATTAACTTTGTTATATATAATAATTAAATTTCATTTGTATTACTAAATATATTTACCATCATATTTTGAATATATTAACTTTGTTACATATATATATATATATATATATATATCATATATATCATAAATTTAATAATTAAAAAAAACATAAAATCTAAAACATAATCTATTTATAGATAAAATTATATTAATTGCATACAAATTATACGCACACACATTACTTACAATTTTGCACAACTATATTCAATGCACCAACAAAGAAATAATGCGTACACATTCCCATAAAACAAAAACAAAAAGAAGAAATCCATACACATTTGCTAATAGCAAAACACAAGCAGCTAACGCATAAGCAAGCACGTTGCATATATTCCAAACGCGTAATAGTCAAAAATATAAAATTGACTATTAGCAAGCAATCAAAATGAAACCAGTTTACGTTTTTCGCTGTTGCTAATGCATATTATTATTTCATTTTCATATGCAATGCGTTAGCAATTATGCAAGCAATGCAAGTAGCAACAGCAATTCAAACCCTGTTTGCTACCAAATCTTTGCATTACGTGAACACGTTAAATCCTTTCTCCAGTAAAACAATAAGTTTATAATTTGTCACTAAAACTTATATAGGCGTGTACATGCCTATACATTAACACTAATAATCCTTTAACAACAGGTGTAGAAAAAAGGAAATCAACATAAAACTACAGAAAACAGCAAAGAACAATACGCTGGCATGAAAGAAAGAAAATTTATATCAATATCAAGATCAAAATCAACATCCTGTAATAGGATACCATACAGATAAAATAGAAACAGCATTATTAAGACATTGTTAGATTTAAGTAAAGAAATTAATAAAGAAAACTTAAGAGAGAAAAAAAAATCAAAACTTAAAAACCAAAACTTAATTTTTATAAATGTTATTGTAACGACCCAGAACCAACCCCTGAGTATTACCTGGGCAAACAGAGCGACGGAAAAGTGTCGTTACAACATATTGTTTTTTATACATTGTGTTTTTTTGCCATACTACTTGCCATATTTTGTTTATAAAGGCAATATAAAAAAAAACCTGACCATTGTGAATCTAAATGGAAATTTGTTTTGTTATCATTATAAATTACTTGAATTATTATTAACATTATTATTATTAATAAATGATAATTATCAGTAATTTTTTTATATACACATTGTAATCTTTAAATAGAATTAAAATCTGTAATTATTAAACAGAAATGTAAAATAAAATTCCTATTTGTATTGATATTGTGAATTTTTAATAAAAGAAAAGTTATTGTTATATATACATGAGTATAAAGAAATTTATTTATTTTCTTTTCTATTTCTTTACTTAGGTGATTACATGGTTATGTAAATGCAACAAACATTAGGCACACGACCATAATGTGTTTTGAGTAAAACTCATTAAGGCTAAAAGGGTAGTAGTAGTGTAGTGGCCATATTAATCTCCTTAAGGTGAAGCGACGCAACTATTTTTTTTATTTTATTTTTTCTCATTGTGTGGGTTTATTTCACAAAAAGAAAACATGACACACCACCGCAATCGTGACCAGGCACTGCCAGACACCTTACCGGATTTGGAAGGGACAAATCCTAAAGATGATGAGGACTGCAGAGTTCCCCAGAGGAGGAACAGGCAGCGTAGGATCCAGCAAAGTCAGAACAGGACATCCAACGCCCGCTGCTGTCATTATCGCTAATGGGAGTCGAACTCTCCCAGTGCTCCTTGATGAATGTTTTTTAAAGTTTAAAAAGGCACAGTAAAAGGTGAACATTGAGGAAGGGATGATTTTCATTGTTTTTTAATAAATTTTTTTTTATCGCATACAGCTAGGTTTTTTACTTATATTTTTTTTTATTATTGTTTATTTTTTTTTAATGAAATATTATGAGGTGAGGGGTAGATTATAGGATAAAAAAAAAATAAATTAATAAAAGATTATGAAGTGATTGTAGAATAAGTTATTTGTTTTAGTTATTAGGCAGAAAAAGAGAAAAAAAAATTATGAAGTTTAGAAGAGAGGATCGGGGGTTACTAGTATGAATATAATTAGATACTATAGTTTTTAATATAATATATGCCCCCAAAATTTTTTTTGTTGTTGTTTGCAGCGATGCCTAAGTTGTCAAGAACCCTACCCCAACACCGGCGAGTATGCCGGGCTAGTCACCGTGCCATGAGCGGTATCTGAGGGCGCAGATTTAATAACAGGACACAACATATTCAATGACGTTACTTAATTTTCTGTTTATAATTTATTATAGTTAAAATTCTATAATTCAAAAAAAAAAAAAAAGATATAATATCACTATGGTGAATACCAATCTATCCGGAGTAGAGTAGATGTCTTTGATTACCTGGTACACATCTTGCACTGATTGTGTTTTCTTCGAAGCTGTTATTAAAGAAACTTATCTCATATACAGCAGGCGTACAACAACCGATCGTATTTAGATAAGTTTGGTTTGAATACTTCTCGAAATGTTCTTTTTGTCTACTATGCCTTCGGTTGAAAATGTCCTTCGGTGGAAGTATTCTTTTATATTTTACTTGCAATTATACTGATTACAGTAGCCGTACTACAGCCGGTCGTAACGATATTTTTTTTTTATATTTTATATATAATTGTATTCTATCTAAAACTAATTCTATATTCCGCAAATTTTTAATAACATTATTAACATAAATGATAGTCGTGCTGCGTATGTCCGCTTTGAAACATCGCTATGAAAAACTTATTTCAGTTTTAAGTTGTACAAAGATCAATTAGCGCTTTTCTTTTCATTCTTGTGAATAGTTGAGGGTGTGACATTAGATTTGAAGCCAAATTGTTTGAATGCGATCTAATACGATTAGCGTATGCGGCAGCGATGCTTTTCGCTTCCTCCTTAACAAGTACTTTATAAAGGTCACGATGAATTTGGGATGTACCACGGAGCGTTCGCTATCATTTGCAGAATCTTAGATTTTAATCTTTGTAATATTTCAATATTTGAATTTGAAGCTGTTTCCCACAGTTGGATGCCATATGACCAAACAGGTTTCAAAACAC